TGTACCAGTCCAAACCGACTTTCTGTGGTCTTCTCAACTTTTTTAAAACACACCGGCTCCAGACACACCGGTGGGACTTTGTTTTCCCCCGTGTTGGCCTTTGCTGTTTTGTTTGTTTTGGGCTGCCTCCGCAGGTCCGTTCAGCTGGATCCTTCTTTCTTACGGCTGGTTGGAGGGAGAGGGGAATCCAGGCCCCGCTCTTTCTTGGCAGGCAGCCGAGCGTCTGCTGTGAGCTGCGGCCTTGGGCCGGAGTCGGTGCTTTATTTTTTGACTGAGCGAGCTGGAGTGTCGAGTTAACCCATTCTTTGCTCTTTTCCTTCTTCCCCCTCTTGGCCTTTCGCTCCCTGCAAGGGAATCTTCCATTCCACACTTATACCTTTGACCTTCCCCCTCCGTCCCCCCCCAATGCCTTGCGATGCTTACAACTGCGTTAGCAATATAGAATGCTGATCTGCCTCCCCATGGGACCCCCTGAGGGAGGGAGTCCTTGGGCCTGTGACGGGGGTGGGGGAGAAGACTGGCGCCTGCAGGTTAGACAAACACCTGTCAGGAATGGTCTAGATAATACTTAGTCCTGCCATGCGTGCAAGGGACTGGACTAGATGACCTCTTGAAGTCACTTCCAGTCCTGTGATTCTATGATATTCTGATAAAACACTCTTTTGTGGAAATGTTGATGGAACTTCTCAAGATAGTAACAAATTCAAAGGATGCGGGACTTAATAAGCAAAACAGATGAGGGATAGCGGATTCTTTGCACAATGGGAAGTTGTCAGGCTGACCAGGAAATGTTCAGAGCAGGGACTTGATTCCAGAGAAGGTTTTATTTGCAACTAAGCTAAAAGGAGCCTCAGTCACTGAGAATTCAGAGGAAGTATGTTGTTCAATCCATCTTTTGTTAGAAGTAGAATTTTTTTTAGTTCCACATTTATTAAACTGATTTCTTCCCTTCATCTCACCTAATATTTTTATAGTATCTTAACCTATTTGTTTTAAGATGCTTAAATCATATTAAAAGTAATGTATACTTTTTATATATATGGCTCTATTAACATAGTCAGTTGATATATTGAGCAAGAGCTCTAATTCAGTGCCGCTTGGCTGTAGATGAAGTCTCAACATTCAGTTGGAAGACTTGGAGTGTAGGCCCGATGGTGTGGAAGCTGCGGGATTGCACGTTCGTAGGGTTAGCAGAAGTGTCGGATGCAGGGTTCTTCAAGTATAAATTTGCAGAATTCTGTTTGCTAGGAGGATCATTAGCTTTCCTGGACTGTGCCAGGTACTGATAGGTGGCATGACGAGAATACTGATCCATTGCCACTCTATTCAAGCAGTACAAATCAACTGATGACCTGGACGAGGCCGACCACTTATTTGAAACTTTGAGCTGTGCTTGCTGAGCCTGATGAAAGGAAAAGACAAAGTACCTGAACTTTACTTGTTCCAGACAGAAATGCTGGAGTTTTACTTTGTCGCCTTGGAGTAGTCCAGAAGTCACCAAAACCAAGCTGATCATCTGAGAGTAGCCATTCACCTGCTTCGCCTGGAGAAAGACGTACTTGGAAAAAGAAATGAATAGTTGAGTCCTGAGTGAGTGGACGGTCTTACGCAGCAGCACAAATCCAGAGCTTTCCCTGAACTTTTTGCAGTTCCAGAGTGCTATATAACATCAAGTCTGGCACCACTGCTGGCTATGACAACATCCTTCCAGAGTTCCTGAAACATCTTGGCCCATGTGCTCTTGGTTGGCTCAATTCTTCACAAGGGTCACCAATGAAGGAAGACTGCCGAAAATCTGGCGCATGTCAAAAGTTATTGACCTCCCAAAACCTGGTAAAGACCCAAACTTGGCATCAAGCTGTCTCCTGATATCGTTGCTTTCTCTGTCTCTCAAGGTTCTAGAGTACCTAATTTTACAGTGAATAACACCAGTGGTGGTGTTGAATGTCTTGAGCATCTTGAATGTCGAGCAAGCAGTCTTTCAATAAGGTCTAAGCACATGCAATCAAGTACTTGCTCTAACCACATTAATCAAAAACTCTTTTCAAAGAAATCTGAAAACAGGCGCTATTTTCCTTGACCTCACTGCAGCATGAGATATGGTGTGGCACATGGGTCTACTTGTTAAAATATCAAGAGTCCTCCCACCCTGGGTTACTAATGCCATGGAACTGCTCCTCTGAGCCAGATGGTTCAGGGTGCATGTGGGTGAGAAAACAAGTGCTTGGAAGAAAACGGATGAACGGGTTATGCTAGGGATCTGTTCAAGCCCCAAACTTTTTAAATCTATACATCAGTGACCTGCCACCAATCCAGTGGCAGAAGCTCATCTATGCAGACAACGTATGCTGCGGGCTACCAGGCTCAGACTTTCTCTGCGCTGGAGAAAACCCCACGGGACGATGCTGCAAAGCTGGCCAACTATAGCAAGACATGGCGCCTTCAGCCTAGCACCAGCAAGACAGTCTCTAGCACATTCTACCTCCACCAACCCACTGCTAAGAGGGAACTAAACATCATAATGAATGGCCAGAAGCTGAAGCATGAAGCGTACCCTGTTTACTTAGGTGTGACCCTGGACTGAACGCTACATACAAAAGTCACCTGAACAAGGCAGCAGCAAAGGTCAATACATGCAACAACCTTCGCAGCAAACTGGCAGGTTCGTTCATGGGGAGCGGATGCACCAACCCTATGGACCTCAGTCCTTGCCATCTCAAATTCAATAGCAGAGTGCTGTGTGCCAATATGGAGTCGATCGGCACACACCAAACTTTTTGATGTGCAACTCAGCTCAACAATGTGCATCATCACAGGAACTCTCCGACCGACTCATCTTTCATGGCCTCTAGTTCTCAGCCACATTGCTCCCCTTTACATCACGAGGGAGATTTGGGTTGGCACATACTTTCTCAAGCAGTTTGCCAACTGCAGTTTGCCCTTGTTCAACGACCTTTTAGGTCCATCAGCTGCATGTCTTTCATCACAACACCCACTGTGGTTGAGGCTGCCACGCCATCATGTGACAACAGAGTCCTTGTGGCGGGAAAACTGATGCTTAACATTATCCGTCAATCAGTTCCTCATCACAGACCCTACTGCTCACCTGCCCAGCTTTGACCTGCCACGTCGTTAGTGGGCTCTTTTTAGTCAATTCTGGACTGGGCAAGGCCTCTGTGCGCCAGCAAGCACCGTTGGGGTCTTAGAGGAATCCAAGCTGTGGCGCAGATCAAACCATGATACACATTGTCGAGGAGTGCCTGCTAATCAAATTCAGCAGTGGTCTCTGAGGGCTGCATCTGGCTACTAAGAACGCTATTGCTTAGATCAGCAAATATGCAAATGCTAAATAAGCAAGTTGATATACTCATATCCTAATATTGAACTCATTAATATTTGATTTTACAAGTTTTGGGGTGTGCAGCTGCGTGTTTAAGAACAGAACTGGAATTACAATTTGTAAAGCATTTAAATTTTTAGTGTAGAACTTTAAGGAAAAGAGTTATAGCATGAAAGTTGCATAGAGTGAAATTTAATTTAAAAAAGCTTTTGTGATCTTATATGAATTTTTGTTCAAATAGCAAGGGATCAAAACTTGGTCAAGGACAAGGGATGAGAAGACCTTATTAATCTTGCCAAAGAGTTACAGGCTATGTGGTCAGAGTTTTAGTGACCACATAGTGTGCCACCTCGATTAACATCTTGCTTTTTTCTTTCCTTTCTCCACCTACACCCTCAATTGTCAAAATTCCAACATGATTTTATATTATCCCTTGAATCATTAAAGTTGGGAAAAACTGCTTTATGCTGCTTGAAAGCTGGAATTCCAGCTTTCTTACAGATGTTATAAATTGTTAGCTCTAGCAGGTTTGTGAAGTATCAGTTGTTAAAATCATGTCTGAATTGAAGAAAGCACAAAAAACAAGATGGTAATCTGTGACATAATTTTAAGGTCTCATATCTTGTGAAATGCCATTGGTCAGAAATAAATGGCTTGTACCACTAGAAAGAGAAATCCTTGCATTCTTGGATGCATTTCTAGCACTAAGGATCAGAGGCGGATTTACCATGAAACAGTGTGGTGGCACGAGGCCCCCAGTGACGGGGAACCCCCAAAATGCAGGACAAATCTCATCTGACAACCTGCCCCTGAGTCCCTGCCGGCGGCGCAGCATTCCGTGCCCGGTGGCCCCATGCCGCTTCTGGAAGCCAATGGCTGCTGGCACATCTCTGCACGCCCCCTGGTGTGTGGGGGGGGTGGCTCTGCGTGCTGCACCCCCCCCCCAAGGGGCGTGCAGAGATGTGCCAGCAGCAAGACTAAGGCAGCTCCCTGCCTGCGTTGCTTCCCTCCCTCTGTGCCGCTCAGGGAAACGGCTGGCATGTCCCTGCGGCCCCTGGTAGGGGGTAAGTGCTGCCCCCTGACCTCTCCTGCACCCCAGCCCAGAGCTTGCACCCCACACCCAAACTTCCTCCCAGAACTTGCACCCCTCATCCCCTCCCATGCCCCAACCTCCTGCCCCAGCCCAGAGCCCGACGACACGTATTCCAACCCCTGCCCCAATCAAGGTATCTCACTGTATTGCCATTTACTTCCTATTACTTATAATATTGGAGGCTGAAGAAAATAAAGAATAAAAATGGGGGGTTGGGGAGATGAGAGAGTGTTTTTTCTTGTCTGGGTCCTGAGGGGGAGGGCCCTGAAAATGAAGCTGCGCACAGGGCCCCACTAACTCTAAATCTGCCACTGCTAAGGATTCATGAGCTGAAGACAGGACATTTATTACTGGTCCCATGGCCTAGCAATGCCTTTTTTAGAACAGGTCTAGGACTGAGTGTAGCAAGTCTCAGAGAATTTAATGAAACTGAGTTAGTAAGCCTCTCGTTTAAAAAAAAAACAAAACAAGCCTTCATTAGACTTCCTATGAAAGGTTGCTTTTAAAATATAAGAAGTCTGTACTTCAGCATTTTTACATATACTGACTTAACTTATTCCTCCACAGGGTGTGATAGGTGTACAGCTCGTGGTTACCATGGTGATGGCTAGTGTCATTCAGAAGATCATACCTCACTATTCTCTAGCTCGTTGGCTTCTCTGTAGTGGCAGGTAAGATAAGAAACAACTAATTGCTACAGTATATATGGATGTGGTGACACTTGTTATAGAGTCTAGAAATGGAAAAATTAAACTAATCAGGAAAGGTTTCAACCATTTCCAGCAGAATGGAACCACTTGCGTCATTTGCACCTGATGTAGAAGATTATAATATTGTGACATCAGATCATAGACTGAAAATATAATGAAATTCTCATTGTAAAGGAACTGTGTTAAGGTTGTTATACAGTTAAGCGTGCTGTTAGTTGGCTGACATTTTTTTCTTTGAGAGATGAGCTGTACGACACTTTCTAATATTAAAATACAGCTTAGTTCTTGCTCTCCCACAGTGATCAACTTTTCTCTGCAATGACTCTGTGTACCTAATGATTCTTCAAGTGCTTGTTCACGTCCATTCCACATTAGGTGTGCGCGCGCTGCGTGCACGAACGTCGGAAACTTTCCCCATAGCGGTACCCATTGGGCCGGCGGGGCCCCCGCCTGAGCACCGCCACTGCGCTGTGCATATATACCCCCGCTGCCCCGACCCCCTCCAGTTCCTTCTTACCATCCGTGGCAGCGTTGGAACAACCTCTTGCTCTCGTATGAGAAGGAATCCCTTAGCTTTAGAGTACTTAGCTGCTCTCCGTTCGTTAGCATTCTATTGTTGTGGACACTTGATAGTTTAGGTGCTTGGAGGCTTCCAGCACCCGCCCCGGGCCGCAGGGCATGACGCAGGCCCACTGGTTTAAGGCTTGCGCCATGTGCCACAAGCCTATGCCGGTTAGTGACCCCCACAACTCCTGTCTATGTTGCCTGGGGGAAGCACACAAAACAGGTGTAAGATTTGCAAGGCATTTAAGCCTACAACAAAGAAAGAGAGAGAGACTTTCGCTTGAAGCAGTTGTTGATGGAGGCAGTGCTGCAGCCATCGGGCCTGGAGCCCCCTGACGCAGAGGGAAGCCTCAGTAC